TTTAGTCTAAAAAGAAAAATACTAAAAAGCTTAAGTAGCAGATCAGTAGGTTGGCTTTCTCAAACCTAATCATGTAATGTATACAAAAGCAACTGCAATCTTATTCCAATGTAATCAAATTACAAGTACTTAATTTTTGGAATCCGGTTACATGTAAAGAGTTACTACCCAGCGCTGCACATATGCTGCGTTCACGTCCTCCTGGGACGTTTGTACTGACGAGTTGACAAGTCGTAATTACGACGTCAGGAGCATTCAAGTCAGTTTAGTCGGCACAAGATGGCGGTGTACCTTCTTTTAATAAATTACAAGAAAATACATCAGGGTCTGTTAACTCTGCTTATAGAAAATGAAGAGCAAAGAATTTGCATCAGGTGTGTTTTAAAACATGCAAACATGGCAAATCAAAAGATTTTTCACCTATAGGTGCAAAAATGATAGCATTTTTTTATTTGGATTTCATTAACTAGCTGCGTAACAAGAACATGACCAATTTAAGTTTATAGGACAACTAAACTATAGGATCGTCAACTACAGACGTTGCATCCATCGATTCCGCCGTGTTTCTCATTGGCACGCCCCCAACTCAGAAACTCAGGGCTTAAAGAAAATTTAGAGTTTCCCACTCGTAATAACGACTTTGTGGTGGCGTTCATGTGCTTGTAAATACGATCTATCCGACATGACTTGAACGCACCAATAGTACTGGTTGTTAGTAAGACTGTAGCAGCAGAGGAATAAACGGAGTGAAAGTTCAGACGCAGGTGTGCACGGGTAAAGTTCACCGTGTGCAATGTGCAAAGCTCCTTAAGAGAGAAGACTCCACAACGGTGCTTACGCGACTGAAGATAACTCTGTGATAGCTGATCTCATGGAGAGATTTGCTGCTCTTATCTTTTATCTTCAACTCTGTGCTTTGATTCAAATCTGCTTGATTAACTGTGATGCAGTCCTCCGTTCATCTATTTGTTCACTAAGGAAATCAGTTCTTCCAAACTTTCTGAGTATTAAATGATTTGTCCCACCGCTAGAATCTGCTGGAAAGCGTTTCTTGGCTCCGTGTCCGTATTGACTTCTCTCTTGGCTGGACTTCCATCCTTTTCTGTTTCCTGGAATGGCCATCAGGGGGACGGACATGGACAACAATGATCCTGCTTTGGGATCTTCTTCAGCCCTTGTTAGTTTTGTGTGATGTATTGGAGCTGTCAGGTGTGATGTCTGGGGTTAGTGCTCGTCTGTAAATCTCGTCTGCACATGTTCGTCTGCATCACGCTGGATAAAAAGAGGCAAAGGAAACATTTCATTACAAGCTCCATAAAACATGCTCTGTGTATGAATAACAGCAGTATGCATTAAAAGTTTCTCTGAGTTTGATGCATGATTTTATTTTTTAATAAAATGTTTTATTACATTTAAACTTTTATGTGAGAATTCTGTTATTTTACCATGCAACAGGGTCTGAAAGCAAACAGTGATGCGCTGAAACCTCCGGCACAGACTAATAAAGCCGAGTGTGCTTGTGCTCAAATAATGTGCGTGTTGAGATCCACTTCAACCATACTATGCAAAAATAACACATTTGTGTTTCATTTTAGTTATTGCTGACTAGTGTTGAACTTTCTTCTCCTCGTCATATTCTTCATGTGATTAGTTTGAGCGGCGCCCTCTACTGTACAGACGTGAGTTTACATTTCCTTCAGCTTGAGCCGTATTCATTCCACTTTTGATGTGAAAGGGCTTTACATTTGTAAAAGAAGATTTTTTATATTTATATTAAAAATAAACAAGCAAGCCCCGCCCAGATTTTAAAAGTAACTAAAAAGTAATGTAACGCATTACTTTCCATAAAAAGTAACTAAGTAATGTAATTAGTTACTTTTTTTAGGGAGTAACGCAACATTGTAATGCATTACTTTTAAAAGTAACTTTCCCCAACACTGTTAGTTGCACTACTAGTTAGTTACATTACTTTTCTTTCACGCCCCACAAAAGTTGTAACCCAAAAAAATCTTCTAAAATGTTACTAAGAATGTATTTCTGCCTCACTTGGATCACAGTCAGAAATGTTTACAAACGCTCAATGGTGATTGATAGTGACGTTTAAGTAGAAGTGTTGTATTATTCTCATCGTGTAGCTTGAAGCTATCATTTCTGTTACCCATATATGATTATATTTCATGATGTATTTTATCAAAAGAAATAGCATAAGTTCATGAGAAAATCCTTTGCTTTCTAAAAAGATTTTTAATTCTAGTAATGCAGTTTATATCGGGATCAGAGCATCTTTTCTCCTGACAAAATCAATTTAATGGCAATATTTCCATCCAGGAATTACTGGATTGTTAAACTTTAAATCAGTAGGGGTTGAGGAATCAAAAGTAACTAAGTAATGAGCTGTTTTATGGATGGAAACTGTAATATTATTACTGAAACCTTATTAGTAATTAGTTACACTACTAGCTAGCAAAAAGTCATATTATTACTGTAACTAGTTACTAGTAACACAAGCCAGAAGATCACAGAGACACGAGGATGCAGGACTCTTGAGCACCAGACAAGAAAAGAAAAACCACACAGAACCACTGTGGTGGACAAACACTTACATTTCCTTTAGAAATTTACAAATTTGATGAGATTATATGTCCTTTAAATGTGCTCAGAGGTTAACATTGAAAGCTGATGGTGAGTGTGTATAATCTATAATCAATATTAATTGTAGGGGAGAGCGGGGTGAGTTGAGCCCATTTTTACTTATGGTGTTTGTAAAGCGAGCACATGACAATAATGGGTCCAACTTAAATATGTACATAAACTTCAGGATGTGGTGCATCCTTGGGAATGATCACATTTTGGATATAAAATAAACTGTTTTCAAAATATGGCTTTCCAAAACAAAAGTGGTCTCTTGGCTCAACTTACCCCCAGTGAGGGGTAAATGTAGCGTAGGGTGAGGGTAAGTTCAGCCACATGGAGTTAAACTGTATCATTGTTTATGCTGAAGTAAAATGGAACATTTTTAAACCTCAATCTACATCAAAGGAATAGAAATTCAATAAAAATTACTCAAATGTAACCTTTTCCATATTCCAAGCTTGCCTGCTGCACTTAATGAGTTTATGAGTTGTGAAAATTATGAAAATCTAGGAATTACTGGATTGTTAAACTTTAAATCAGTAGGGGTTGAGGAATCAAAAGTAACTAAGTAATGAGCTGTTTTATGGATAGTAACTGTAATATTATTACTGAAACCTTATTAGTAATTAGTTACACTACTAGCTAGCAAAAAGTCATATTATTACTGTAACTAGTTACTAGTAACACAAGCCAGAAGATCACAGAGACACGAGGATGCAGGACTCTTGAGCACCAGACAAGAAAAGAAAAACCACACAGAACCACTGTGGTGGACAAACACTTACATTTCCTTTAGAAATTTACAAATTTGATGAGATTATATGTCCTTTAAATGTGCTCAGAGGTTAACATTGAAAGCTGATGGTGAGTGTGTATAATCTATAATCAATATTAATTGTAGGGGAGAGCGGGGTGAGTTGAGCCCATTTTTACTTATGGTGTTTGTAAAGCGAGCACATGACAATAATGGGTCCAACTTAAATATGTACATAAACTTCAGGATGTGGTGCATCCTTGGGAATGATCACATTTTGGATATAAAATAAACTGTTTTCAAAATATGGCTTTCCAAAACAAAAGTGGTCTCTTGGCTCAACTTACCCCCAGTGAGGGGTAAATGTAGCGTAGGGTGAGGGTAAGTTCAGCCACATGGAGTTAAACTGTGTCATTGTTTATGCTGAAGTAAAATGGAAAGTTTTTTAACCTCAATCTACATCAAAGGAATAGAAATTCAATAAAAATTACTTTTTAAAATCCGTGTTTAAAATCCAGGGTTTTTCTCCAGCTGTGGCCCAACAAAGTTTTACTAAAAGATACAGTTCACAACTTCAAAGGCGTTTTAATTATAAAAAAAATTTCAGAACAAATTAAAGTTCAAATTGAAGAGTAAAAAAAAACTGCAACTGACCACACAGAACTGGGCTAACAATTTCATAAACACGTCAATGGCCAATTTTCATAAACAAGGCTTATTTAAAATTTTCAGAACAAAATTTAAAAAAAATGTTTGGCCTAAAATTAATGGAATATAATGTAGAATTGCAGTAAAATAATACTTTATAATAATAAGAGGTGTTGAGCCACTAGCTCAAATTACCCCACTCCTACCTTTTTAACAAACTTGCATCATCCAGCAGTTTAGGGCTAACATCATACAAAGAGTATAGCCTCATAACTTCCTAAAGCACAAACATGTGTGATATCTTCTCAGATTTGTATGTAATTGTTCAGATGACGCATAAAAAAGTCAGTTTTTTTTTACATAAATGTAGTCACCAATCATTCCATGGGCCATCACATGGTGAGTAAAATGGATAACTCTTCATATATTTGGCAAAGAGTATAGCCTCATAACTTCCTAAAGCACAAACATGTGTGATATCTTCTCAGATTTGTATGTAATTGTTCAGATGACGCATAAAAAAGTCAGTTTTTTTTACATAAATGTAGTCACCAATCATTCCATGGGCCATCACATGGTGAGTAAAATGGATAACTCTTCATATATTTGTGGTCATATTACCAGTTTAGTTTAAGGTTGTCTAGAAACAAGGGGTGGCTATATATATCATGTCACCCTATATATCATGGCTGCAGCATTTCTGGAGCCTCCTAAAGTCTGGAGCATCATAAATGATGATTGTGAAGTCAGAGGTGATCTGTGATCCGGTCTGAGGAGGATTTGGCCTGTCCTAGAGGTCAGAGCTTGAGGTCTTCTGGAGGACACTTTCTGCTGGACAAAGTCCTCATCTATCCCTTTAGAGAGTCCGATTATACCACGTGAGAGGCGGGTTTAACCCGGGTCTGATACAGGAATAGAGCTGTAGGTGGAGTCCTGGAGGACTGAAGGGCCGGAGAGACTTCAGCGTGTGATTATTGCTAATCCCTCCTTAAATAACCCTGAGCGGTCAGCTAATGTTGTGCAGGACGAGGACAATACTTCTGAACAGAGAGAGTGTATTTCATGTCAGCTGGAGTCCAGGATGAATTTCGCAGCGCAGTTTTTTGCTAACTTTGTGAAGGACGGCCTGCAGGCGCAGGAGATGCGGAGGAGCTTTAGTGACAGCGAGGAATACGATCCCTTCTGGCAGAGGTGGGAAACTGTAGCGTGTGCGTCAAAGGTTTTTGAAGAATAAGATTTTTCATGTTTTTTTTAAAGAAGTCTCTTCTGCTCACCAAGCCTGCATTTATTTGATCCAAAGTACAGCAAATAAATTTAAAAGCAATTTTTAACAGTAAAATTGTGAAATATTTTTACTATTTAAAATACCTGCTTTCTATTTGAATGTATTTTGAACTGTAATTTATTCCTGTGATTTCAAAGCTGAATTTCCAGCATCATTACTCCAGTCACATGATCCTTCAGAAATCATATTACTGCTTTTGCTGTATTTCGGATCAAATAAATGCAGGCTGGGTGAGCAGAAGAGATTTCTTTAAAAACATTAAACATCTTACGGTTCAAAAACTTTTGACTGGTAGTGTGTGTCTGAAACCCTTAGAGAGTCTCCAGCTGCTTCCCAGTGTCCTCCTGAGTCTGAGAGAAGTGATGTGACGGGTGTAGCGGATCCGCTGTGTTCTCCTTCCCATCCTGTGCTTCCTCCATCCACTGACTCACACTCAACCCTTGAGACGCCCAAACCTGCACCAGAACTCACACTGAGACACCAGGCTTCATCTCCATCACCGTCAGCATCTCCTCTTCCTCATCCCGCTCCGAGAAAACCCAGCAGGTCTCAAGCTGGAGCTTCAAAGAGGGCTGATGCTCCTCAGCCCGCTGCCAAAGCTCCCGATCCTTCTCCTGTAGAAGCAGCAGACCCGTGCTCATCCGTAGCTCTCCCTCCGTTCCCACAGCTCACAGAGAACGCCACTCTCCTGTCGCTCCTCCAAGCTTTAGTCTACATCCTCCTCAGACTCTTCCTCACCTTCATCCTCCTCTTCCTGCCAAGGTAAACGTGTGAGAGAATGAGAGCTGAGAGAGCTCTTTTATTAATGTATGACAATAACCCTGTAAAGTCTGATTTATAAAATAATAGTTCGACTTTTTTTTTTTTTTTTAAATGTTAGACAAAATATTTTAAAAGTTTGCATATGCGTTTTTTTGATGCATCAGGATTTTATGTCTTAAAACAGTGTTAAAACAGCTCAATTTTATTCAGAGACTCAAACTGATGCTGATATTTGTATGATGAAATTCTGTTGCTTGTAATGACGCTCAGTAGAGCAGATACTGACATAAAATGATCTAAATATCAGTCGTGGCTCTATATCTCCAGTAATAATAAGATGAGATTGAAATGCTCCAAACATATAATGCAGTGATTGAGAGCTGAAGAAATAAAGGCTCCTCAGAAGATGTGAGATGTTCTGGAGGCTTGTGAAGATCATTCCTCCGCTGAGGAACAGTGAAAGTAAAGCTTCTGGAAACAAACGCTCCTCAAAAGATCCTGAGGATCAGATTTGAGACTCTAAAACATGATTGATGGAGAATCAAGTAAAGCTGAGCTGCTTCAGTGCAGTAAGAGTTCATCTGGAGATATTACTGACGTTATTCTGATGCTTACTTGATCAAAACCAGTCCAGATTTGACAGCAGAAAGACACAAGAAAAAAACTCTAAACTCTCAATCAGAAGACAGAAGACATGCAGTAGATTGAGTGTGAAATAGGTTTATCAGCAAAGATTGATTATTTAGAAATGTGTGCATCAAATTTCATCATCATCAAAAATGATGTGCATCAAAAAAATCAAAGGGTTCATCAGAGGGTGTTTCTCTATAACAGAGACGCTGTGACGTGGGAATGAGGGAAGAGGTCAGACCTGCAGAGCTCAGATATTAATAGACTTCAGTGCTGGACACACGGCCACAGTATTAACTATGAAAATAAAGTGGAAATATTTTGAGAATAAAGTTGAAATTACGAGAAAAGCAAAATATTTTTAGATGAAGTCGAAATTATGAGAATAGTTGAAATATTTTAAGAATCAAGTCGAAATAACGAGAATTAAATCAAAGCATATTACGAGAATAAAGTCATAGCAAAATGAAAATAAAGTCGAAATATTTTGAGAATAAAGTCGAAATTACAAAAATAAAGTCGAAATTACGAGAAAGGCAAAATATTTTTTAATAAAATCGAAATTACGAGAATAGTTGAAATATTTTAAGAATTAAGTCGAAATCTTTTGAGAATCAAGTCAAAATTATGAGAATTAAGTTGAAATATTTTGAAAATAAAGTTGAAATTATTAAAAAAACATAGAAATTACAAGAATAAAGTTGAAATAACGAGAATAAAGTTAAAATATTTTGAGAAGCAAGTCGAAATGACAAAAATAAAGTCAAAATTACGAGAAAGTCAAAAT